TGTGACGCATAGAGTATCCCCCCAAAACCTTTAAAATCTCACTGAACAAAGGACCAGGACTCACTCCCTGGGACCGCTGCATCGGGAATGGTTGTGAGTCCAGGCTCCAGCTTGCAATAAAGACTCTTGTGTGATTGCATCAGATTTGGCTCCTGGAGGTCTATTGGGGTCCCACGAATCTGGCATAACAACCAAGCCCAGAATCTGAGCAGCAGCAGCTGAACAGATAAAAGTGAAGGTCACCAGGTGATGGAAGTCACAGCAGCAGTTCCCTCTGACTCGACCCACTAGAATGGGAATTTGGGAGACTTGTGCCTGTGCCCTGTGGCCCACAGACTTCTTTCCCTAAGGACAGAGTGTTGCAGGGGACAGATGAGGCAGGACACCAAAGACAGCAGGAAACAGTTTTATTTGGCTGCAGCCAGGTTCAGTGGGCACAGCTTTCGCTGTCATCAATTAATCCTCTGAACCTAGAGTTCAGGCAGTTTCAGAACTTTATACCCAGGATGTAAGGGGAGGGGCTCAGAAGTTCACAGTCTGCAGAAGTTCACACAAAAGCAGCTTTTTCTTTCACTGTTCTGGGCAAGTTAACCCTTCAAGGACAGTGCCTGAGAAGGAGAGAGCTTCTTTTCCCTTTATTCCCTCGCCCTGCCAGCTGTTACCATGCAGCCCAATTAGTAACAACTTCTCTTATCTTTGAAATGTGAACATCTCTGTGAAGCTCAAGGCCAGAGACCTAGTTAAAAGAATCTGCTTTTCTGCACACTCTGCATTTACAGACACACTTGAAAACCATTACAAATTGTCATATATATATATATAAAATAGTTCATAAAGGTTTGTTCACCACCTGGAGTGCTGATCTCTTTCAGGCCCAGTGGCCAAATTTAATTATCATAAGAGAATACAACAGGAAATAGGAAGCTTGAACGTTTTTGATTGCTTTTTTAATAGCTTAACTACAATGAACTCTTTTGCTGATAGTCCTAAGATCAATTATGGTGAATATTTCTGGAGAAGGGAGGAGGGGGTGCCACTACAAGAACAGGGCTAGAGGTGCGAGCAGGTTTTCTTTTATGCCTTATTTACTAGGGAGCACATAACCAGGTTTTTGCTAATTTGTTTGATTTATGAAGTGATTTCCTATAGTCTGGGTTTTCTGTTATTGTTATTCCATCTTAAAATTTCCAGTTCTCTTTCTGATTTTGGGCTGACTCAAAGTCGTCTTCTATTTTCAGGTGTTGAAGAACATCAGATCTGACAGTTTGAAGTTCCTGGTTCTCATTCCTTCTAATCTGTTTCAGAGAGAAAACGAATGGGCTTAATGGCAAGGCAGGCTAGGAAAGACATCAGTGGAACAGGGGTGAGGAACAGCAGGGCTAGATCTTAGGAACTAGCCTGCTCGTAGAGGTGACCCCAAGGAGGGCAGCCGGTGCTCAGCACCAACATGCTCAGCTGTCCAGGACTGACACTCTCAGCTGGCATCAGAAACAACAGGGCTCAGAATGCTGAGTAGAAGGTTCTGCCACCACACACCCACATGGGTGTCCAGAAGTAGTTCAGGTCTTAGGAAAGAAATAATTTCTAGGGACTAAATAAGGGGGGAGAACGATGATTCTGTGGGACAAGAGGCTTGTATGGTTTCAGGAGTCCATTAGCAAAATGAATAGAACAATATCTCACTTTTCAAATGCAACAAATATTTTCAAGTTTTTTAGGGCTCTTGTCAGGGATGTGGCAGGGGACCTATGAAGATGAGTAGCATGATGCTTAAGTTTCCTTAATTTTATTACCTCTACCCATAGTTTGGTTCAGACTAGGGCTCCAGACACAACCAAATCAGAAAACTGAGACATAAGCCCTTCTCCAGAACAGGCTAGATTCATAAAACAAGGGTAAAGAGAGAGAAGGTGGCTTGATGTTCATGTGGTTATGGAGGGCGACTAGCCCAGGCCTCTCATATAGGTTGGACAGTGTGCACTGGGGCCATATGACAGCATGCACAGAGTAGCGTGGAGATTAGGAAGTGCCCTGGGTGTCTTGTGGCCAATCAGGCAGAGAATGGGGTCTGGTAAGGACTTAATATGGTAATTTATTTGCTTTTTCTTTTTTTTTTTTTTTTTTTGGTACCAGGGATTGAACCCAAGGGCACTGAGCCACAGAGCCACATCCCCAGCTCTTTTTATTTTCAAACAGGGTCTCATAAGGTTGCTTACAGCCTCGCTAAGTTGCTGAGGCTGGCTTTGAACTTGCAATCCTATTGCCTAAACCTCCTGAGTCTCTGGGGATTACAGGTGTGCACCACCATGCCCAGCTATTTATTTGCTTTTTCATTCAGTCACTGAATAGCTTCTATGCTTTGGAGGATGAGAAATGATTAAGGTCTGGTGCCTACCCTCAAGGATCTTAAGCGTAAAAGCAGTATTTGACACCTGACCATGATGCAACCCTGAGTCCCCAGAGTAAGTCACCTGGACCACAAAAGCCTTTGGAGGAGAGTAATGAGAATGCTGGGATGATGACGAGGCACCAGGGCATTAGTAGGAGCTTGCTGAAGACTAGAAGCACATGTTGTCCCTGCACATTTAGAAAGAAGCAGGTTACCACTGTCCCTGCTTTGTTCTGTCTTGGTTTTAGCATTAGTTTTTCCAGCTATAGTAAAACAGGGACAGTTAGCCACCCTAGGAGGGAAGAACACTGACTAGCTTCCCTGGAGGAACTAGGGCATCAAAGTTTCTGGGCTCAGTGCCAAAACACCATTCATTTATTTTTGGCATGTGATCTTCAACATACTTTCTGATCTAGCTTTGGGAACTCTAGCCAGGTTTCTTGAGCCTGTGGGAGGCTGGTGTCACCTGGGCCTGCCGTAAGAGCATAAGAAGCTAGAATAATGGGGAAAGAGGCTGGGAGAGTGATCAAGCCCAGAATCTGAGAAGCCGCAGCCAAAACAGATGAAGGTTAAGAACATCAGGTGATGGAGGTCACAGTTCCCTCTGACTCAAAAACCATGGACTGACCTGAGGCACTAGCTAAGGGCCTTTGGGAGCCTTTGAGCCAGTGCCCTGCATACTCCTTTCTCTAAGGACAAAACAGGGTCAGAAGTGTAAGGCTGCAGAACAAAGAATAGGGAAGAAACAGTATCCCTTTGTTCCTCTAGGCCTCTTGTAGGCAACAGTCTGTTGGTTTAGGTAAATCCGCCTGGATTTTTATTGGGATCTTCACTTTAGTTTACCTCACACTCAGCATGTGAAATTACATGCAAAAATTTGTAAGAATCTTCTTGGGCTGAACACAGTGGCATATGTCTGTAATTCCAGCTGCTCAGGAGGCTAAGGCAGGAGCATTATAGGTTCAAAGCCAGTCTCAGCAAATTAGTGAGACCATATCAAAAAATAAAAGGGCTGGGGATATTGATCAGTGTGGGGGAAAAAAAAAAGAATCTTCTTGGGATGACAACATTCAGCAGGGTCTCAAAGTTGTTCAAGATCTGAAACACCTTTAAAAAAACTTGACTAAGGGACTGGGGCTGGGGCTTAGTAGTAGAGCACTTGCCTACCATGTGTGAGGCACTGGGTTTAAACCCCAGCACCACATTAAAAAAAAAATTAACTAAACAAGATAAAGCTTAAAAAAATGCCAGACCAAGTATTTTTAAGGTATCTATTTTCATATTCTATGATTCTTTAAAAATAATTGATTCAAATTTATAAATAGAATAATGAAGGAACAGTCAGGGTTCAAGAAATATCATTCTGAGAAATATGCCAAATATTAACACTGAGAATTACAAAACAGTTTTCTTTGTTGTGGATGGGGAACTGTGGTAGGGTTTTGTGTCAACTTGACTAGGCTATTTGGGCAAACCATGTGTACCCGTTGGTTTGGTTCAAACACCAGACTAGACTAGAGATTGTTATAAAAGGTATTTTTAGATATGATTAACATCTAAATAAGCTGACTTTGAATAAGGCAGATTACCCTCCATAATGTGGGAGGGCCTCATCCATTAGTGAAAAACCTTAAAGGCAAAGACAAGTTTCCCAAAGAGGAAATTCTTTTTTTGCGGGGGGTGTACCAGGGATTGAACTCAGGGGCATTCAACCCTGAGCCACATCTCCCAGCCCAATTTTGTATTTTATTAGAGACAGGGTCTCACTGAGTTGCCTAACTCTCAGAGACGTTGCTAAGGCTGGCTTTGAACTCACCATCCTCTTATCTCAGCCTCCCAGGCTGCTGAATTACAGGCATGCACCGCAGGTTAGCAATTCTCAAAACTGCCACAAAGCAATCTTGCTAGTTTCCAACCGCTCTACAAAATTTCCAGAACTTGCCAGTGCCCAGTCATGTGCACCAATTCCTTCAAATCACTTCTCCTATTGGTTCTACTTTTCTGAAGAACTCTTGACTAGTATAGGACTCCTTAGTCATTTATTTAAAATTACAGTGCTGGGAAGATCACATACAACCACTGAATAAAAAGTTAGCGCTGGTGAAGGCAGGCTATTTGGAACAAATGAGTACTTTTGGCCTGTGGCAGGGTATAAAGAAAAAAATAACACTCTGGGGTGTACGTCCAAGCTTCAATGTTATGGCTAAAAACCAGTTTGGTCAAACTGGCTGAAAGCAAATAGGTAAACAGGACCATCTGACCAAACCATGATTTGATCCAAAATCAACATGCATCCTTTTCTTTTTTGGCAGTTCTGCAGATCCAACCCAGGGCCTCTCCATTGAGCTACATCCCCATTCCTTCTAATTTTATTTTGAGACAGGGGCTAAGTTGCCAGGCTGGCCTTGAACTTGCCATCCTCCTGCCTCAGTCTCTGGAATCATTGGAATGCAGACACTGCAGCCAGGATGCTATCACTTTTTAACTGATATGCCACTTTGCACTATTTAACGTTTTCACAAGAAGCACATATCCGTGTTACGCTGGCACTTTTACAGAAACATAACGAGCTTTTTCAGTTCTGGTTTTAGAGCGCTCATGGCACTGGGGGATGCGAAGCGGGCGTTACCGCTTGGTAGGGATCTGCACCCTCTCCCAGGCCAGCGCGGTGGAGGCTGGTGAAGTTGGCCCAGACCTCAGTCTTGCTTCTTGCCAAGTGCGTGGAAGAGCCTAGACCCTATGAGCAAAGGTAAAGAGTTTAAAAAAAAAAAAAAAAGGAGTGGGTGCTTCGTGAGGCTTCTAGATTGCTCAAAACACCGAAGCAACATCAGCTGGGATGGAGCGGGATGATAAAAAGCAGCCTCCCAGCTTCCTCCTTTCGCACAGGGTCTCATTGTGCCGTATTTCACCTCTGGAGGTATATACTGCGGTGCATCCTCGGGCAAACTCGACTCGCTTTTCCGGGGAGTTTTGGGGTCTCCCCGAGTTTACTGATAAACACTTCCGGCCAAGTTTTAAATTTCACTTGATTTTTCTCCATAGTGATTCCTAAGATGTAACTAGGGTTGGAAGAAACCCAGGCGCTGCTGCCTCTGGGAGCGGGAGGCCGTCAGCGAAGTCATTAGAACCGACAGCAAAGTCCACGCCACCTCCGCCGGCTTCCGAGGCCACGGCGGGGCAGAGGAGACAAGCGCAGACTCCCGGCGCGCCCATTCCCCCGCTCACCTCTACGCT